GCCTTTGCCTGCTGTTTTTTATTAGCGTATTGACTCTCCTCTGTTTATTTACTGGCTATTCTCAACAAATCTGCCCCTTTCCCTCTCATGCCTATCTTCTCCTATTTATGATACCCCACATTAGTTGTTTTAAGTTAAACTTAATCATATTGAACTGTATTGCTTCAGACCTGAGGAAGAGAGGAATACTCTCGAAAACTTGTTTTTTTAACCCCTTAATGACGGCGGGCATTCTATGCCATCCTTAGGGAACCGGCTCTAAACGCCGGAGGGCGGCATAGAACGCCCAAGCCGTCCTTTCTACTTACCCGGTCGCTGGTGATCGCGGTATGGGGACTTACCTGGGAGCCCAGAGAGTGCCCCTCCATCCTCTTCAGCCCCCCTGGGCCATGTGATCACATGGACCTCGCGATCACATGGACGGCATAGCCATCCAAGGCATTGCCAGGAGGGGGAGTGCCTGTAATGAAAGGTACTCCCCCTGCTGTCTGAAAAAAATAAAATAAATATTAAATCAGTGTAAAATACAATTATATATACTTAGATCATATATGCTATATATGATCTAAATATATATATATATATATATATATATATACACATATACACACATACACTGTCTAAGTGTATTTTAATATTAATATTTAAATATATATATATATATATATATACATATATATTAATATCAAAATACACGTACAATTATATTGATTAAATATATATATATAATTATGATTTTATATATATATATATATATATATATATACTTATATATAATATAAAAATAAATATGTAAATACGTTAATAAATAAATAATATATATATATATATATATATATATGTGTGTAAATTCGTTCTAACTGTATTTTAAAATTAATATATATATATTGATATCAAAATACATGTAGAACGAAATAATATATATATCTATATACATAAGCAAAGAAAAATACTGGCACTCAAGGATTTTCCAGAAGTTTACATTTCCATTTATTGTGGAAAGATAATCGATGTTTCAGCTCCTCTAGGGAGCTTTCATCAAGACACAAAAGGTTTTGTGTCCTGATGAAAGCTCCCTAGAGGAGCTGAAACTTTGATTATCTTTCCACAATAAATGGAAATGTAAACTTCTGGAAAATCCTTGAGTGAAGGTATTTTTCTTTGCTTATAATTGAGCCATCAGAGCACCAGGTATTGTGTTTTTTTCTTTTTGTTGGAGTGCAGGGGTTGTCTATCTTTTTGGATCTATACACATAAGTATATACGTATATATCACTATATATACCTATATATAAATAAAAATTATTTTAAAAAATTATGTACATATATATTATAATTCTACGTATATATTTATGTAATAAAATTTCATAATTAGGTAATTTTATTAATTACAATTAGCGTGACCTGCCTGACAACCCAGGCCAAAAGTTCAGGGAATTTAATTTGCTAGCACTATATTTAACCCTGTAACTTTCCAAGACACCATAAACCCTGTACATGGAGGATACTGTTTTACTCAGACGTCTTCGCTGAACAAAAATTTGTGTTTCAAAACAGTAAAATGCAATACAACAATGATATTGTCAGTGAAAGTGACATTTTTTGAATTTTTCACACACATATGGCACTTACACAGATGATATAACTGTTGTGATACGTTTTACTTTTTTGAAACACTAATATTTGTGTTCAGCCAAGTCTCCTGAGTATAACAGTAGTCATGTACAGGTTTTATGTTGTTTTCAAAAGTTACAGAGTAAAATATAAGGCTTGCATTTCAGTTTTTTCACATTGAAATTCACCAGATTGGTTATGTTGCCTTTGAGACAGTATGGTAGCCCAGGAATGAAAATTACCCCCATGATGGCATACCATTTGCAAATGTAGACAACTCAAGGTATTGCAAATGGGGTATGCCCAGTCTTTTTTAGTAGCCACTTAGTCACAAACACTGACCAAAATTGGCGTTCAAATTCGTTTTTTGCATTTTCACACACAAACAAATATTAACACTAACTTTGGCCAGTGTTTGTGACCAAGTGGCTACTAAAAAATACTGGACATACCCTATTTGCAATTCCTTGGGTTGTCTACTTTTGCAAATGGTATGCCAACATGGAGTAATTCTCATTCCTGGGCTACCATACGGTCTCAAAGGCAGCGTAATCCATCTGGCGAATTTCAATGTGAAAAAACTGAAAAATGTAACATGCTATATTTGACCCTGTAACTTCCCAAAACACCATAAAACCTGTACACAGGGGGTACTGTTTTACACGTGAGACATTGCTTAATAAAAATATGTGTATTTTATTGCAGTAAAAGCAAACAGTATTATGACACTCACAGTTAGAATGTCACGCAGAACTAAAAAACAATTTTAAATTCTTATTTTTTCCCATTTTTTTATATTTAATTCATATTAAATTATGTTTCATACCTAAATATTTGATGTTAAATGAAAGCCCTGTTTCCCCTGAATAAAATGATGTATAATAAGTTTGGGTGCACATAATATGAAAAAGCGAATTACGCTTGAACAGACATATAGCGCAAATTTAAGTTTTGTTTACGTTTTGTTTTGATCACAATGTGTACATTTGGCTCAGTCCTTAAGGGGTTAAGTATTGTGATATTCCAATACAAAAGATTTCATTGCATACTGTGATACGCTGGTATTTTGACATCCTGTCTACTGCTGTATTAATATGGGTAACCCAATCTACATGTGTGTGTAGATTGAATATATATATATATATTTTATTCTGAAGTGATAATACATCAAGCAAATAGCACACATATTAAGTAGATTTATTCCCATACAGAGAGATATTCCATTAAATATGTATATGTAACTTAGCTGTTGACACAACTGCATTTTCCTATATAATAATAATGTTATATATGTAATAAAATATAAAAGCATATCAATTAAACTGTTAATATCTCCTGACTGATTCCTCTTCTGCAACTGTCACTAGTCTAATATTATCCTTACCTTTTTGTGTCATTTTACCCCACTCCCTCTAGCATGTAAGCTCATTGAGCAGGGCCCTCAACCCCTCTGTTCCTGTGTGTCCAACTTGTCTGGTTACAACTACATGTTTGTTCGTCCACCCATTGTAAAGCGCTGCGGAATTTGACGGCGCTCTATAAATATCATAATAATAATAATAATAGTAAATTAAAACTTAATTAATTCTCATTTTTCCTCTCTAAGACTATGTGTGTACTTTAATTACTCTGCTTTATGGAAAACCTACACAATGGTTTTATCAACTTCTGTTTAACCAAGATCCAGTAACATGCTGTCAGTAAATATTTATACAAGAATTGTCAGTAATTATTTATACAAGAATTTTCTCATTTATGTATTATATTCATATAATAATACAGATACTATTTCTACTGATGAAACCAAGCGTTTTCAATTAGTTAATTTTCAGGTTTATTTATTTTTCAGTTTGGAACTATGTTTTGTTAAAAACTTAAATTTTGATTTGGTTGAAAGAATTGCACATTCCTAACAAAACCTACTTTTCACTCCTTCAGCAATGAAAAGTATCAGTAGCAGAATATATTGCCTCATTAACATACTGTTTGGATGAAACCTTGTGGAATAAACATGCATAAAAATTCCAGCTTAGAATTGGTCTCTCAGATCACTCTTGTGATATGTTTGCGAGAACAGGAGTTCCTAATAAAATCAATGATCTACTTGATTTACCTGTAGATTATGAGACAAATAGAGAGAGGAATGCCAAGTCAATATTTCACTCTCCTACTTAAGGTGAACATCCAACTTATATCCGTAAACCTTCTATTTTGGAAAAATCACCCATACCTGAACCAAGGGAAATTGTTTTGGAACATCTTCCCCTTTCTAGAACAGAAACCCAAAGGAGGAGAATTAAAAATGTATATCATTATTGTACTTTTTCAAAACATTTTCTTTCCAGTTTACCTAAAATCTAATATTAAAATAAGGAAAATAATGTTTCAAAAGAATGTGGATTAATGCTTTAAATACATTTTTTTTTTCTAAGGAGCAGCTAAAACACTTGCGATCACATGCAATCCACAGGAAATGAAAAAAATTCAAAGGGAGTACAATTATCCAGTGACCACACCCAAATAATTTGGAGTGGACTTCTCACAGCTTGAAAAACACCCCCTTTATTTTATGCTAACTATATATGAAGGAAAATCAAACAAAAATATTGCAATAGTGTAATATCATTACCATAATTTAAAGGGCAATTGTGTTATAGTGCAGTGAGCTACACAGCTCGTATTTCATGGATCCTGCATACACTGGCTCTGATCTTCAAGGCTGCTGTGCTTTGGAGGCGGCATACATCACCTATCTGTTCATATCTCTTAACATTTTCCTCCAATTAACAAATTCAAAAATACTAATCACATTTACTGATTTAATATTACTTTTTAATATTCACATTACTTGAAAGCAGCCTCTATTAAGTAGACTCTTTGAAGTAGGAGTTAGAAAACCAGGAGTTACTTGGAATGGTTTGTATTTTATTTTTGTTTAATCTTTAAAATTGGTAAGGTTTAAAAAAAAAAAGTTTTTGTTTTTTTAAATTTTCTTTTTTTTTTCTGTGTTCTGGTTTTCCCCCCTTTTTTGTGCTGCTGCTTGATTGATTGGGGGAGTGTTCATTAATTGCACCTGTGTGGGATTGTTTCCCCATAAAGGCACACCCCTAACTCACTGAGCTTGCTCACATTACTTGAAAGCAGCCTCTATTAAGTAGACTCTTTCAAGTAGGAGTTAGAAAACCAGGAGTTACTTGGAGTGGTTTGTATACTGTGGAGAGTGGTTTGTATTTTATTTTTGTTTAATCTTTAAAATTGGTAAGGTTTAAAAAAAAAAAAGTTTTTTGTTTTTTAAATTTTCTTTTTTTTTTCTGTGTTCTGGTTTTCCCCCCTTTTTTGTGCTGCTGCTTGATTGATTGGGGGAGTGTTCATTAATTGCACCTGTGTGGGATTTGTATCCCCATAAAGGCACACCCCTAACTCACTGAGCTTGCTCACATTACTTGAAAGCAGCCTCTATTAAGTAGACTCTTTCAAGTAGGAGTTAGAAAACCAGGAGTTCAAACAAGGGGTTTAAACTAACAAGGTAATTGTTTTCATTTTCTGTTTCTGGGGAAATGAGTGTTAGCAAGATTGCTGGTTTGACTCAATGCACATCTTGTTGCATGTATGGATGCCTGGATGTACCCGTCCAGGGTCCATACCTCTGTGATGGTTGTGTGCGAGTGGCTTCTCTGGAAGCTCAGATTGGAGATCTCGAGAAGCAAATCGCAACTTTGAGGGAGATTGACAATCTTGAGAGGAGTCTGCTGCTCACTGAGCAGAGTTTAGTGGGGACAGGTAGTGGAGAGGGAGGAGATAAGACAGATGGGGAACAGGCATGTAGCTGGGTGACAGTGGGGTGAGGAAGCGGGGGGGAGGGAAGAGGAAAGGGCTAGCTAGTCCTAATTTGGTGCAGCCTAGCAGATTTGCCCGTTTGAGGGAAGATGTTGGGAGCATCAGCTCAGGAGTAGCTGTATTAGAGGAAGCTGTTACTTCTAACAGCCGAGCTAACAGCCCCCTAGTACGGGTGGGGATCAAAATGTAAGGAAGGCAAGACAGGTTGTGGTGGTAGGGGACTCTATTATTAGGAGAGCAGATAGGGCAATCTGCCGCTCTGATCGGCTCAACCGGAGAGTTTGCTGTCTCCCGGGTGCTCAGGTCCGGCATGTTGCTGACAGAGTGGATGGATTATTGGGAGGGGCTGGGGATGACCCAGCGGTCATGGTCCATGTTGGTACCAATGACAAAGTAAGAGGAAGATGGAAGTTCCTAAAGAATGATTTCAGGGAATTAGGTAGCAAACTTAAGAAAAGGACCTCCAAGGTGGTATTCTCTGAGATATTACCTGTGTCACGCGCTACAGTGAAAAGGCAGCGGGAGATTAGAGAGGTCAATGCGTGGCTTAAGTCTTGGCACAGGAAGGAGGGTTTGGGGTTTTTAGAGCACTGGGTCAACTTTGCGATTGGGTACAACCTTTATAGTGGTGATGGATTGCACCTAAACGGGAGAGGGTCTGCAGTGCTGGGGGATAGGATGGCTAGAAGGTTGGAGGAGATTTTAAACTAGTAGTAGGGGGGGGAGGGTCATAGCAATCTACAAAATGGAGATAGGACAAAAAGGAGATGGGCTTTAGCACAGTATAAGGGGGGTGGAGACTGGGGGAGTGGCAAGCTCAGAACAGAGAAGCTGTGTAATGTTGAAAATTCACAAAATATACAAGTGACACATAATATTAAATGTATGCTTACTAATGCAAGGAACCTAAATAACAAAATGGGGGAACTAGAGGCATTAGCATACACTAAACAATATGATATAATAGGCATAACTGAAACATGGTGGAATGAGACACATGACTGGGCAGCTAACTTAAATGGGTACATGTTATTTAGGAAGGATAGGAAAAACAAGAAGGGTGGTGGGGTATGTTTCTATGTCAACCATGTTTGAAAGCCAAATGTTAAAGAAACAGAATGCGAGGAGGATAATGTTGAAGCTTTATGGGTAAATATCTGCTTGGGGGAAAAGAAGGGAAACCAACTATTGGTTGGGATATGTTATAAACCACCTAATGTTATAATTGACGAGGAACAACAGCTGTTTTAGCAAATTGAGAAAGCTGCAAATCTGGGTAACACTTTAATTATTGGAGATTTTAATTACTCGGATATAAATTGGGACAGAGGGACTAGTACCTCAGCAAAGGGAATTAGGTTTTTAAACTTGTTAAATGACACCTTCATGTCACAACTTGTACAAGCACCAACTAGTATGGACGCTTGTCTGGACCTGGTTTTAACAAACAACGTTGATATTTTGACCAACATTCAAGTAGGTGAGCACTTGGGAAATAGTGATCACAATATAGTGTCCTTTGAAATAAACTCAAAAAAACAAAAGCACATGGGGAATACTAAAACATATAATTTTAAAAAGGCCAATTTCAATAAGTTAAGGGAAGCTTTACAATATATTGACTGGCATAAACTCTTTAGTGAAAAGAACACTGAGGATAAATGGATCATCTTCCAACAAATATTAAAAAGGTACATTTCTCAGTATGTACCGTTGGGAAATAAATATAAAAGAAACAAATTAAAACCAATGTGGCTTAGTAGAGAAGTAAAACAAGAGATTACAACTAAGAAAAGGACATTTAAGGCATTTAAATCGGACAAATCAGATGCATCTTATAAAAGATATAAGGAAGCAAGTAATGCGTGCAAAAAGGCAATTAGACTTGCTAAACTTCAAAATGAAATAATGATAGCTAAAGAGAGCAAAACCAACCCCAAAGCATTTTTTAAGTACATAAATTCTAAAAAAAAATAAAAATGAAAGTGTAGGTACACTAAAAACTGAAACGGGGGTGTTAGTTAATGAAGACCAGGAAAAGGCAGGAATTTTAAATAACAATTTCTCCTCCGTATATATTAAGGAAGAACCCATGGCAATAGATGTGCAAATGATTGCTACTAAAAACTTGCAGAATAATTGTAATTGGTTAACTCAAGACAAGGTGCTGCAGCAACTAAAGAAAGTTAATATAAACAAAGCTCCAGGGCCTGACGGTATCCATCCACGTGTACTTAAGGAACTAAGTGCAGAAATAAGTGAACCTCTGTTTTTAATCTTTCAAGATTCTTTTCTTTCAGGAAGTGTTCCGGAGGATTGGAGGAAGGCAGATGTGGTTCCTATATTCAAAAAGGGTTCAAAATCCTTGCCTGGAAATTATAGACCTGTGAGCTTAACTTCTGTGGCTGGTAAAATATTTGAAAGGTTATTAAGGGATAATATTCAAGAATTCCTTGAGAAGAACATGGTTATCAGCAAAAATCAGCACGGTTTTATGAAGCACAGGTCATGTCAAACTAACTTGATTGCGTTCTACGAAGAAGTAAGTAGAAGTATAGATCAGGGTGTTGCCGTGGATGTGATCTATTTGGATTTTGCCAAGGCATTTGATACAGTTCCACACAATAGATTAGTGTCAAACTCAAACTCAAGGAAATCGGTCTAGATGAAAATGCTTGTTCTTGGGTAGAACATTGGCTTTAAAACAGAGTACAAAGAGTTGTCGTTAATGGTAAATTTTCAAGCTGGACAGAGGTGGCAAGTAGTGTCCCTCAGGGGTCTGTTCTGGGACCTCTTCTATTTAACATGTTTATAAATGATCTTGAAGACCGCATTGAAAGTCATGTTTCAGTGTTTGCAGATGACACAAAACTTTGTAAAACAATACAATGTGAGCAAGATATTACTTTGCTGCAGAGGGATTTAGATAGACTGGGGACTGGGCACTCAAATGGCAGATGAAATTTAATGTTGAAAAATGCAAAGTTATGCACTTCGGCGTAAAGAATACACAAGCAACGTATACCCTTAATGGAAGCGAATTAGGGATAACAACACACGAAAAAGACTTGGGAATTGTTATAGACAACAAACTATGCAACAATGTGCAATGTCAATCAGCAGTGGCCAAGGCCAGTAAGGTATTGTCATGCATGAAAAAGGGCATTCATTCACGGGACAAGAATATCATTTTGCCTCTTTATAAATCACTGGTAAAACCCCATATTGAATATGCTGTGCAATTTTGGGCACCTGTTCTAAAGAAGGATATTATGGCACTAGAAAAAGTGCAGAGGTGGGCTCCAAAATTAATAAAAGGAATGGAACATATCGGCTATGAAGAAAGGCTAACAAATTTAAACCTATTTAGTTTAAAAAAACATTGGCTGAGAGGGGATATGATAACATTATACAAATATATTCGGGGCCAATACAAACCATTGTGTGGAAATCTATTCACAAACTGGACTTTACATAGAACACGAGGCCATGCGTTTAGACTGGAAGAAAGAAGATTTCGTCTAAGGCAAAAGAAAGGTTTTTTTTACTGTAAGAACAATCAGGATGTGGAATTCTCTGCCTGAAGAAGTGGTTTTATCAGAGTCTATACGGATGTTCAAACGGCTACTAGATGCATACTTGCAAGAACAGAATATTCAAGGATATAATCTTTCAATGTAGGGTAATAACTGGCTGATCCAAGGATAAATCTGACTGCCATTCTGGGGTCAAGAAGGAATTTTTTTTCCTAGCTTGTTCCTAAATTGTGCTTCAAACTGGGTTGTTTTGCCTTCTTTTGGATCAAAAGCAAAAAATAAATGTGATGTAGGCTGAACTTGATGGATGCAAGTCTCTTTTCAGCTATGTAACTATGTAACTACTATGTAACTATATATGTCACAACTTCAAAAAAAATGATAGAACATTACATTTAACTGCTGTTATTAATATAAAGGAATAAAAAATATTCAAGAAGTACAGTTAGTATGAATTACTAAATAGGGGACAGTATGTTATAAGCATAGGAATGAACTAAAGCAGCTATTTGTATTATGTTCAAAAATGGACATGTTAATGGAGAGGAGCAGAGACACAAATACAAGACTTCATAATACTGTTAAAACATACTTGGAATGCAATCAATGTTAAATATGAGTCAAAGGTTAATGAACACATATGAGGCGACAGTATAAAATGCATTAAGACTTGTAAAATGTAGTGTTGTCAGGGGAACTATGATAGCACTTCAATATTTTTTATGGGTTTGTAAAGACGTGACAAATTGGCTACCTGAATAGATAAAATAGCATTTTAAAATACCAAAAGGTATAAATGAACTTTATTTGGGATAGGAAATTCTATAGTGAGGCAATGCTATGAAAAAAAATGCATTCATGGTAGAAAAGGAAGAGTATAAAATACAGCTATCATCTACTTTGACGTGATGGCATAAGCTTTATCGTTATAAGTAGTAAATATGAAATATACTTTGAAAGGTAAAAAGGACTGATATCAGCAATAATCAGCAGTAATTTTAGCAACAGAGTAGTAAAATTAATATTTATGGTGCTTTTTGTGTGAGAAAAATGGTCTTTTGCGAATAATACCATAGCATATTTGTGGAGCAATGTACATGCCAAATAAACAGAAGAATGTTAACCTCTGAATGATAGATGTGTGAAACTTTGAAAGACTATTGGACATTTTCAAAGAATACTATAGTCACTTGGGTCACTTCCTCTCAAGGAAGTGGT